TTCTCATTAAAAAATGTACTTATTGTAACAAATTTAAAAATACAAATTAAAAGTGTTGAAATTAAAACAAAAAATTCCCAATGTGTACCTACTTCTCAGAGGTACCCACTGTTAATTTTTATATACATTAAAATATATATGTATAAACACTTTAAAATAATGAATATTCTACTATAACTTGGCTTTTTAATTCTTTAGTTTATTATAGATAACTATTACTGCTACAGAAACAATGTATGGGTATATTTGAATCTATTTCATTTATTCTTTTTTTTAATTACCAAAATTCAATTTCTTAATGATGTAACTACACGGGAATATTAAGAATTTTAGTGCATTTAAAAACACTTAAAAACTTAATTCTATGCAGTATGTTTTTCAGTGCAAATATTTTGTCTTGCTTTAGACAGACTCTAAAATATGACCAAAAGAAGATAAAAAATCAGCTAATGTTGGACTTGCTTGGTGAGGCTCAAGAAGTCTGACAAGCACCAAATAAGAGACAGTGGAGCCAATGGAATGGCTTATTGGTAACATCAGAATTTTTAAGAGGATAGTTGGATATATACTAACAGATACTTGTACTTCAAAATCTGAAAAAAATGTCATTGCTATTATTATTACATATGTTTATATTGTAATAATATAAACAATGTGCAGGAAACAATACTATTGGATTTTTATGCTTTATACATATCACATTTTAATAGCATCAAACATTGGAAAGTCCTATTTATAATTTTTTTAATATATTTTACTGGTTACATTATTACAGTTGTCCCAATTTTTCCCCATTTGCCCCTCTCCACTGGTATGCTCATTCCCTCCAGCAATCCCTCCCTTAGCTCATCCATGGGTCATGCATGTAAGTTCTTTGGCTACTCCATTTCCTACACTGGTCTTAACATCTCCCTATCTATATTTTACCTACCAATTATGCTTCTGTTTTTTAATTGTTGTTCAAGTACTGTTGTCTCCATTTTCCCACCCACCAGTCTCCCCACCCCACCCTCCCCACCTCCCACCCTCAATCCTAACCTCCTTTGGTTTTGTCTATGGGTCCTTCATGCATGTTCTTTGATGACCCTTCCCCTTCTTTCCCCCATTATTCTCCTCCCCCATCCCCTCTGGTTACTGTCAGTTTGTTCTTTATTTCAATGTTTCGGTTATATTTTGCTTGCTTGTTTGTTTTGTTAAGTTCCGCTTACAGGTGAGATCATATGGTATTTGTCTTTCGCCCCCTGGCTTATTTCACTTAGCATAATGCTCTCCAGTTCCATCCATGCTGTCTCGAAGGATAGGAGCTCCTTCTTTCTTTCAGTTTCTTAATCCCTGCACCTTTTCCCCCTTCTCCACCTTCCCCCTCCCAACAGATAACCCTCCAAATGATCTCCACATCTATGATTCTGACTCTGTTTCTGTTCTGCCTGTTTGCTTAGTTCGTTTTTAGATTCAGTTGTTGACAGCTGTGAATTTATTGCCATTTTAATGTTCATAGTCTTGATATTCTTCTTTTCCTTATATAATTCCCTTTAACATTTCACAAAATAATGGTTTGGTGATGATCAACTCCTTTGGTTTTATCTTGTCTGAGAAATACTTTATCTGCCCTTCAATTCTAAATGATAGCTTTGCTGGATAGAGTAATCTTGGTTGTAGGTCCCTGCTTTTCATCATTTTAAATACAGTTTGCCAGTCCCTTCTAACCTGCAAAAGTTTCTTTGGAGAAATCAATTGACAGTCTTAGGGAAACTCCTTTGTAGGTAACTATCTGTTTTTCTTTAGCTGCTTTAAGGACTCTCTATCTTTAACCTTTGTTGTTTTAATTATGATTTGTCTTGGTGTGGTCCTCTTCAGGTCCATCTTGTTTGGGACTCTCTATGCTTCCTGGACTTACATGTCTATTTCCTTCACAAATTAGGGAAATTTCCTTTCATTATTTTTACAAATAAGTTTTCAATTTCTTGATCTTCCTCTTCTTCTGGAACCCCTATGATTGAGGTGTTGGTACATTTGAAGATGTCCCAGAGGCTCCCTGCCTATCCTCATCTTTTAAAATTCTTTTTTCTCCTTGCTGTTCTGATTGAATGCTTTTTTTCTTCTTTATGTTCCAAATCATTGATTTGATTCTTGGCTTCATCCATTCCACTGTTGGTTCTCTGTGGCTTTTCTTTAGTTCACTTAATATAACCTTCATTTCTGCTTGAGTCTTTTTTATGTTGGTACAGTACCCAATGTGTTCCTGGAGCATCCTGAGAACCAGTGTTTTGAACTCTGCATCTGATAGGTTGCTTATCTCCATTTTGTTGAGTTCTTTTTCTGGGGTTTTGTTCTCTTCTTTCATTTGGGCCATACTTCTTGGTCTCCTCAATTTGGCAGCCTCCCTGTGCTTGTTTCTGTGTATTAGGTAGAGCTTCTTTGACTCCCTGTCTTAGTAGCATGGCCTATTGTGGAAAAGTGCACCTGTAAGTTGTATGGAGCAGAGCCTTAGGTAATCGCCAGGGCAGGGCAACCCGCATTACCACACTGTGGCTTGGTGTTGGGACAATGCCACTGCCTGGCCTCTGGAGCTTTGCCCCGGAGGATGCCATTTCCTAGCACTCTCCCTGATGCCTGTCACTTCTATTTCTCCCCGTATGCCACTGGTGCCCTTCTAGCTGTTGCCCTGGTGCTAAATCCCAGAGGGAGTGGGTTTGCCTAAGTCCTAAGTCCGTTGTGGGCTATTTAAGAGGAGTTACCTATGAATCCCACAGTTTCTTCTGCCACTCCAACCTCCCCTGGTTTTTACAGCCAGAAGCTATGGGGACTTAACTTCCTGGCACTGGAACTCTGGGCTTGGACTGGGATCCTTTCCTCCCAAGATATCCTTCCCAATTTTTATCCATCACATGCGGATATGGGACTGCTCATTCCACACCTCTGCACCTCTCTGCACCTCTCTGCACCTCTCCACACCTCCCCGCACCTCTCCACGTGTCTCCTTCTCTGCATCTCCACCCCTCCTAACCATCTGGACAAATGTGACTTCTTTAAATCCTTGGTTGTCAGACTTCCCGTACAGCTCAATTTTCTGACATTTCTGGGTGACATTTGTTTTGTAGTGTAGCTGTAATTTTTGCTGTAGTTGTACAAGGAGACAAGGTATATTTACCTACACCTCATTCTTGACCAGAAGTCCTATTTATAATTTATGTGTCAAAGTTATTTCATCATAATGGTAAAAGCTATAGATTATACTTTAATACATATCATTATTTATCACATGCATTCTTTTTTTTTAAATATTGATCTAATTTAATACTAAGAGCTTTAAAAACACTGATTAAAAACATGCATATTTACTTATATTAAGAAAGACAAAGAAAGAAAAGGAGAAGAAGAATGAGGAGGAGGAGTAGAAAATATATCAAAATAATAACATAGTTATCTCTATGAGGTGGGATTACAAAGGCTTTTTCTTTAAACTTTTCTAAATTCTTTTCAAATCATCTACCATTTATTCATTCATTCAACAATAGCTATTGAGCATCCACTATGCCAGAGATATGCACATGATCAAAATAAAAACTATGTTACTTATAAAATCAGGAAAGCAATCAATGTTATTATAATTAATAGGATTATCTGTGCAGCATGGAATTGTCTACATGGCACAGAATCCCAAGCAATGTAGACAAATAATGGATTGAAAAAGAACAGTTTCTTTAAGATCTAAACTAAATGGATGTTGGTCCTAGGAAGTCCTTTAGCTTCTTGGTGATGTAAATTTTGGTTTCTCTCTTAATGACACCAGCTTTTAGGTAACAACTTGATAACTTCTCTCAAAGGGCTAAGGTCAGAGTAGAGTACCTTTGGAGAAAACATCACCACCCTCAAAGCAGAGTGAGTACGAGTATTCTAGCCAGGGAAGCTCTGAGCCCTTGGGTCAGCCATTGGCACACTCTCTGACCTCAGCATGGCTTCAAGAATCTAAAATGGTATCTTACATAGGTTATGTCTGAAATCACCCGTAATGCTAATTACCGGAGAAGAGGAGGATACTTCTAACTTTAGTTAGAAAGGTTCAAATATAATTTTTAAAAGCACCTTGGATAAGTGCTGCCAAAAATATGTCTGTCATAGTAAAGAATATATACTATAGGCCCAATTTTGAGCAGATCTTCTATTTTCTGTTTGGGGCAATGATGTATTTGATTGATTCATTCATTCAGCTGATGTTTACTGAGCGCTGAGCATGTGACAGACACATGCCAGGTGCCAGAAGCAATGGTGAACAAAGCAGACATGTCCCCTGACTTCTTCCTAGACACACACTCATATAATAACGCAGTTAAATAAACACGTATTTCAGGTAGCGGTAATGCTTGTGAACACAAATACAGATAAGGAACGGTGAAGCAAGAGGCCCATTTTAGATATGATGGTTAGGAAAACACCCTTTGAAAAGATGGTATTTGAAGAAATGCCTGAATGAAATGAGGGAGCTGGTCATGAGAAGACTGGGGTAAACGGGAGGAAAAGGCCAGAGCAGAAGCCCTGCCGATGGAATGAGACAGGTGTTTTGAGGACAAGCAAGGAGGCAAGGATGGGGAGAGTAGGTTGTGGTGGAGGGGTAGGGGTAGTGGGCAAAGTCAGAGATAGGTTACATAGGGCCTTTTTTGTCCTGCTGAGAAGCATGAATTTTGATGTGTGTGTTGGAAAAACACACAGGGTGGTTTTTGAGTAGGAAAGAATTGTGATCTTTATGTTTTCCAAATACCACTCTGCTGCATTGAGAATAGCCTGCCCAGGCCCAAAACAAAAGTAAGGCCTCTAGTTAGAAGCAGGTGCATGAGGAAAGAAGCGGTGTACTGGAAAGGTGGAGATGCCCACCTGTAGAAGAAGAATGATATTATTGGCCAAATAGGCCCCTTGTTTGGATTCGGGTCTTTTCACATGTTACTTTGCAAACAGTAGGTGCACAGTAAGTGCTTATGAAGCGTCCACATAAAATACTTTACCTGTGCTGCTATAGAAGGCAACCACTGGATGCACTGAACTCCTCAAAGAACTGAGAAAGGGAAACATGCTCATCAGTATTTAAGGACCTGTTTCCATGTTTCCAGGATAGCATGAGATCCTCTTCATTGTAGGCATCTAAAACAAGAATAGAATATTCTTAGAATAAGTTCTTGTAAGTTCCACGAAGTCTCCAACCATGTTTTATACAGCTCTGTATCCTCAGTGCCTGGTCAAATGACATGTATATATTAGGAGCCGAAAAATGTTTTCCAATACCCACACCTAACAAAAAAAAAAAAATTAGACCCTGATGACTGACATAGTGTGGAGGCTTTTCTTGTGCCCAGGAGATGACTTAAAAGTCTTCAAGTGAGTAACTCAGCTCTGGCTGGTGTGACTCAGTGGACTGTGTGCTGGTCTATGGATCAAAGGGTTGCTGGTTCGATTCCCAGTCAGGGCTCATGCCTCGGTTGTGGGACAGGTCTCCAGTGTGGGGCACGCGAGAGGCAACCATACATTGAAGTTTCTTTCCTTTGCTTTCTCCCTCCCTTCCCCTCTATCTAAAAATAAGTTAAATAAATAAATAAATAAGAGTCTCCAAATAGCTGCTCCCATGTTTGTGTGATGTCACAGCAGTGCCTAGCAGTCACTGACCTGACCTTGATCTCTAGGTCCCTTTAGTTTTACAGATCATGTGGATAAAATTCCAAGATGAGCTGAGCTCATAAAGAATTTTCTAATCAAATAATGTTATAGAAAGTTTCTAATGGATTTGAGGAGGAGCATCTGTGTAGGAGACATCCACTGAGATTCCAGCATTTTAGCCTCATTATAAAAAATTGCATTCAGCTTTTAAGATGTTACATCAAAAACAGCTGATGGGTCAGAGTGATTGACAAGAAGCTGACGCAGATGCCCTTGACAGGGCTTTGATTAGGGGGTCTATGTCTAGAGCTGGATTTGGGGGGAGGAGGGACCCATGTATACTTAATGAAAGATTGTGACTCATATGGGAAAATGAATTCCAGAGCTTTCCAAACCTGGAAAGTCCATGTCAGTCTATGCGGATAACATTAACGAGAATACATGTTTAGGGGAGCTGTTTCTTTATAATCATTGTGGAAACCGAAAAGTGTATAATTATCAAAGCATAATTTTTTTCCCTGAATCTTCTCATTTGAGAGACAATTTGTCATCATCCTTATAAAAGAAAAAAAAAGAAACTACAAACTTTGGATAAATATACTTAACTTCTAGCAAGATTTTGAAATCCTTAAGAGCATGCTTATTTACATGCAAGTTTGTGATGGTATGCTCAGGCCATGTGTGTGCACTCCATCGGGAAGTGAGACTTACAGCTTTCCAGTTCAAGGGAACAATTTTGAGTGTCAAGAGGAAACCCTCTGAAATCCATAAAGCACATGGCAGAAACAGTTATCCTATAAAAAGAATAAAAAAAAGAAAACTGCAGATCATTTAGCCATATGGTCAAATAAACATGCAATACCGAAGCCTCTCTTACTGTTTGCTTGTTCTGCGTGCATTATCAAGGATAATGCAAAGCAGGTGTTGCCATGTTCCATCTGAATAACATATAAGGAAACAAACCCAGGAGGGTGGATAATTTGCTTTACGCACAGCTAATGGGTGAATTCCTACTCTAATAATTGCTTCTGATCTCACTGTTTCCTGGTCAGCTCCCTCTCTATTTTCTGGCTCCAGAGTCTTCAGAAAAGTACACTTCAAAGTGAAAACACTTTTAAATAGATTTAAATATTTTCTGCTTTTTGGAAGAAGCAAACTTAGTTTCTAGTAATAAAGGGTTGGGATGGTGGTAATCAAAACCTATGGGTAAAAGTTTCTCTCACAAAACAAATTTACCTGAGGAAATTCTCTTCCCAGGAGTGAGGAAAAAGCTCAGAGCATTTTCAGTTATAGAATTATGTGCACAATGCATAATTCAGGTGCTATTACGTTAAAAGGCTTGCATAGTGATAAGAATTGTTTTTTTAAATTTTATATTCTCCTAGAATTTCCTGGCTTCAGGCAGAGGCTGAGCTACTATGATCCTACATCAAAGTAGAAGCTCTAGTACCCACAATAGCAGATCAGAGGTTCATAAAAGGCCCCAAGTGAGTCTGCAAAAACAAAGGCAACAGCTGCTCCTACCCATGGTGCCCTCAAGTAAATCAGAGAAGCAGAAGTATTTTATCTTCCATAGGTTGAATGCTACTGTCAATAGTCACCTAGCAAAATGCCATGCTAGGGAGATGTCTGGATGACTTTGCGTCACAAAAAAGTAATTATTTTGGCAGATTCCTAGTACTTTTTTTTAAATTTTTTTAAGACTTTATTTATTTTTAGACAGAGGGGAAGGGAGGAGAAAGAGAGGGCGAGAAACATCAATGTGTGGTTACCTCTCATGTGCCCCCTACTGGTAACCTGGCCTGCAACCCTGGCATGTGCCCTGACTGGGAATTGAACCAGTGACCCTTTGGTTTGCAGGCCGGTTCTCAATCCACTGAGCCACACCAGCCAGGGCCATAGTACTTTAAAGTGTGAAGAGACCTCTGAAGTCTTTGAGTCTATCTTCTTCCTAGTAAGCATGAATAAATTTACCAAGAAGGTTAGGCGGGTGGCATTTAAAAAAATAATTATTCACAACATTTGTTAAAGAATGACAGTAAGAAAAACTTTATTGAGGGGTGGACCACAATAATGGGGTTTTTAATAAGGGTGAGAGATTGGGCACAACTCGAACTACAACAAAGTGGGCATTTACAGTCAAGGAGTCGGATGGCGGTCAGTGGACAGGAAGTTACTCAGAGGAAACATCAGGGGTGAAGGGAGATAAGGGCTTAAGGGGTTCTTGCTGAAGGCAGGCCTGGGCGATCAGACGTTACCTGGAGATGGTGGAGGAACCCGATCAGATACGACGGGTGGTCAGATATTGAGGATGGGGGATTTAGGCTAAATTGCCTTAGCAGAAACAAACAAAAAGAACTCAGAAGTCAGGGTCTAGGTGAGAAAAGCGCTCAGAGGAGCCTGAGTAGTTTGGTTAAGAAAAGAATTTTGTCAATACATGGTACAAGAACTGAGCCTGGAACCAGGTGACCTGGCTCTGGGCTTGGAGTGGCTCTGCTTTCAGCTGGAATAGCTATGCTGACGATAATTTTGAGTCCTCCTATGTTCAGGGATTTCCAAAAACCACTGTCAAGGTCAATGATTAGCTAGAAGGACTCACAGAACTCATCAAAGCTGTTATATGAGAAGTTACAATTTATCCCTGGCTGGTGTGGCTCAGTGGATTGAGTGCCAGCCTGCGAACCAAAAGGTTGCCAGTTTGATTCCCAGTCAGGGCACATGCCTGGGTTGTGGGCCCAGTTCCCAGCTGGGGGCATGCAAGAGGCAACATATCAGTGTTCCTCTCCTTCCGTTTCTCCCTCCCTTCCCCTTTCTCTAACAATAAACAAATAAAATCTTCAAATAAGAAGGAAGAATTTATTTGTAATGAAAAGATTAGGTTAAAATCAACAATGTGAAGGTGCATAGAGCAGGGTCCAGGATAGACCAGCTTCTAGTTGTCCTGTTCTAGTGGAGTTAATTCTCCTAGTAATGTGTGACCACGCACAAGGAGTATTGCCAACCAGGGAAGGTACTGAGCCTTTGGAGTCCAAAAGGATTAATTGAGGCATCACTGACATAAGTTTGGCTGACTTTAGTCTCCAGTTCCTCCAGAGGTATCATCCCATGTGACTCAGGTCCCCTATCATAAACCACATAGACAATCTGGTGTAGCCCACTGCCTCAGGGTAAACAAAGACACTCTTATCAGACAGGATATTCCAAGGACTTAGAGATTACCTCCCAGGAGCTGGGCTGTCTTTGTTTAGAATGTGCAGGTTATAGACAACCAATTGAGTTAATTCTTTAATGGATATCCCTTCATCAAAATAATTCAAACAGTTGATTTCTCATGAAGCTTGACTCCAGTACTTATTAGAGTCCTACTTTACTCCTATTGAAAGTACTATTGAAAGTACTATTGAAAGTAGTACTTTCCTTTCATTGAACTTTTAAAAAACAATGACAGCCTTTATGAAATGTCTGACAGTAGTATCTTTGTACGTAAGTGAACATGTTTTTAATGTTCAAAAATAACAAAAATTAACAAAAATAATCTGTACTAGTTTCCTATGGCCACTGTAACAAATTACCACAAGCTTGATGGCTTAAAACATCAGAAACTATTATCTCACCATTCTGGAGGCCAGAAATCTAAAATCAAGGTGTCAGAAAGACCCCGCTCCCTCCAGAGGCTCTCGAGGGAAAATTCATCCCTTGCCTTTTACAGTCATGGCAGCTGCCAGCATTCCTGGGCTGGTGGCTGCATCACTACAATCTGTCTTAATGGTCGCATTGCCTGGACTTTTCCTCTGTTTTTTTCTTATAAGGACACACAGTTGCCGTAAGGTCCCAATCAGATAATCCAGGATAATTTCCTTATGTCAAGGTTCTTAACTTAATTACAACTGCAAAGGTCCTTTTTCTGGTGTATACAGTAACCTTGATAGACTCCAGGAATTAAGACATGGGTATCATTGGGGCAGCCACTTTTTCAGCTTATTTCAGTATCTTTCTGGGATTTCTAAGGCATGAAAAAAATTAATTACTTAAATTTACCAAACACTTTTAGAATTACCTATGATAAGCTATTTAGGATTTTATTAGGCTAAAATGACATATGGTACATTAAAAATGGAACACTGTTATAACATAGTGTCAGAACTAATTTTTTTTAGTGTGCTTATTGATTCTGGAGAGAGAGAAACATTGATTGGCCATCTCCTATAGACACCCTGACTCGGATCAAACCTGCAACCTAGGTATGTGCCCTGATCAGGAATCGAACGCCAACCTTTTGGTTCATGGGACAACACTCAAACCGACAGGGTCACATCAGCCAGGGCAGACCTAATGCTTTTAATAAAAAACATCAAAAATGAAGTAAGGAAATTAGCAGGAATTTGTATGATGACTATACCTTCCCATGAAAAGTGAAGGAGACAGTTAAGAAAAGCATTAAGCTAATCCAAGATTCCAAGACTGCTTGGTGGCATGCAGGGGTGGGGTGGAGTTGCTGAGGAGGAAAAATCACATCTTTTGTTTGCCTCCCAATTTCCAATATCGCTAAACAGACAGCACTATTGTGCATTTAGTGTGAAGTGAGACCAGCTTTGCTGTAGATAGCCACAGTGCAGGCAGCCAAAGGCAGCAGACTGCCCTCCTCGCCTGAGACTAAAGAGGACATTTCCATCAAGGTGTATGCACAGCATAATGTTCTCCACAGTCATATCATGAATGAAGAATCTTTTAGAACTGACAAAAAGATGTCAGGCACCCAAATCTTTTTGAATTATCTATGATCGAAAGTCATGCTTTTGCTTGTTGTGCTAGGAAAGGAGAGCCTTTCAATCTTTCCAGTAATGCCTGAGATAAAAAGTCATTGTAAAGTCCTAGGCAGAGAGAGAAAGAAAGAAATCAAAGGCAGTAGGAACATAGTTCAGGATGACCACTCAACACCATTAATCCAGATTGATTGCTGTGGTGTTAATGACCTGTAAGTGAATGGCTTGTCTTGTATTTTCAGCTAGATTCAGGATGAAGCAAGTGAGCTCCAGTTGCAGAGCCTCTCCCTCGCCTGAACTCCAGTGAACGTTGAGAGTTTCGGGAAGTACAGAGTATTCAGGCTGAGGAAGGAAAGCCAGTTATAACTGGGAAGCATTTCTACATAAGCACTACGGTACATGTTCTAAAGAGACCCCCGAAGAAAAGGACCTAAAACTCCATGCTCTCCTATTTTATCTTTGTTTCTTTTTTCATTGTGAATAAATATTCCCTCTTCTGTAAATCCTCACCAGGGGATATGTTCATTGATCTCAGAGAGGGAGAGAGGAATGGAGAGAGAAAAAGGAAAGGAGAGAGAGAAAGGAAGGGAGAGAGAGAGCGGAAGGGAGAGAGAGAGGGAAACATCAGTATGAGAGAGAAACATCGACAGGTTGCCTCCCATATGCACCTTGACCAGGGATCCAACCTGCAACCTAGGTATGTGCCCCAGGTATGATTAGGAATCAAACTGTCAAGCTTCTGGTGCATGGGACAACACTCCAACCAACTGAGACACCTGGTCAGGGTGATATTCACTTTTATAACTGATTTTGTGTCTATAAATTTTATTATTTTTGTTAAAGAACCACATTCCCCTACCCCCCAAGCTGAATAAACCACAGTTCCCCAAAACCAGGATACAGCATTTATTAAAGCTATTAGTGGAATGAAAGTTGTCAGAGGCACTGGGACAGAGGCAATGATATTCCTCAGCTAGAGAGACAGAAAGTAGGTGCCATAAAAATGGCGGTTCTCAAACTCGGATGTGTGAAAGAATCACCTGTGAATTTGTTAAAATAGCACATTCTCCAGAAGTGAGTTCTCAATATGGCTTAGGAATTTGAATTGTTAATGTGCACCCCAGGTAAGGAGGTAAAGATGAGGGGGAAAGCTGTATTAACATCATGTTAGCAGAAAAAAAAAACTGGGTTAGTCAGTAATTTGAGTTTTGTTTGGCTCTCACATGCTCCATTTAATATTTTGTTTGTTTGAACAGAAACTCTCCAAGTTTCATCTAAGTCATTGGGTGTGGACAATGACAATATGTTTCACTTTTCATAACTGTTTACTTTTTAGTATCATGTACTTCCTAATAATACTTAAAATTTTCTTGAATTAACACATAATAGAACTTTGACATTTATTAAGCAACCAAAGGACAAGTCTCAGTAAGTTGCACATAAGTCACCAATTAACTATGAGCTAGTTTGCTTTTTAAAGGTTCAGAAGAGAGGTACATTGTATTATTTCTCTAGCTTAACCTAAGAGTATCAATACCTGTAATTTTGGATTAGGATGAGAGTGAATAAACATAATGATTCATTCATTGCCATATCTCTACAGGGAGTTGTGTGGATTACTGACTGCCTGGATTGCTTTAATAAGCATATATATAGAATCAGATGCTCAACCTGATCTGAAGGTCACCGGGCAAATACTGAACCTATAAAGTCAAATGACAGGCACTGTGGCACATCAATGATATATCGAAATCACAATTAACTGGAACTATCATGAGAAGCAGGCGGAACAGCATGTTGGAAGAAGAGCAGGACAAAACTTACAGGGATTGAAAATGAATTCGGTGTGGGATGAGGGACGGTGGGAAGATGATCAATGAGAAGCTAAAGAAGCCGACAGCAGTGGTCACTGATAATCAGAAAGCCTTTTGAAATTCGGCATGCACTCCATAGTCCAGTTTTGGCTGATGCGGAGTACCAAAGCTGACCTTATTCAGGGGAGAAGAATGAGGTTCAGTTTGGGGGTCAGCAGGATGGAGACAATGAGAATTCTTTCACAGACTGGGTCATTCAGGGATGATTTAGATTAGTCCCAGAGAGGGGAAACGAGAGAATGTTCCTGGAGCACAAGAGTCTCAAGGAAATGCCAGTGAAAGCAGTCTTTGAGCAGGGAAGAGCTGATACCTCCTAAACAAGACATTTTTGAGTAGTGAGTACTACTAGTGCTATTCCCATTAGGAGTAGGGTACTTAAAATGAAAGAAATTTCATTTAAGTCTTGATATTGAACTGAAATAAATATTAAATTAGGTAATGATAAGGACTGGAAGGCTATTAGGTAAAGACTGAAACAAAATTTAACAGGTATTAAAAGACTTTCAGAACTATCTGGAATTTTTATGTGTCCAGTGATTGTTTTTATTCAGCATTATTGGATAACAATAACTAGTTGGAGAAATCACTATAAATAAAAATATTAAGATACATATGAAAGAGTATTTGACGTTACAATGTAAGTAATTTATAATTTCTAAGTCCTGCTTCCTTAAAAGATCCCTCTCTCTTCCTCTCTTCCTCTCTTCCTCTCTCTTTCTTCTCACATTTTTATCTTTAATTGTGGTATTTGTATATTACAAAAACTATATAAAATCTAAATTTCAAAGCTTAATTCAATGAAAAACAATATATAAGCTACAGTTTATACATCAAAAATATTTTTATTCTAAAAACTCTCCCAAAGCAACTTTTGAAAATTTCATAAGAACACACATATAAAAGATTTCAGAAAAGGGAATGAAATGCAAGGATTAACACACATAACAATGTATATGAAGTGACTAAATCGACTAACAAACAAACTAAATCTTTCCAGATGCAAAGAAATGAAAGTATTGGATTTGCCAAAAAGTCCATTTAGTTTTTTCTGTAAAATAAGACACAGTTTTCATTTTCACAAATAACTTTATTGATTTGGATATTTTGAGTATGTGGCTATCTCCTGCTATTGGCTTCTAGTGAGTAGAGGCCAGGGGTGCTGCTAAACATCGTCCAGTGCATAAGACAGCACCACAGCAAATGATTATTTGGCCAGAATGTCTATAGCACCAAGCAACTTCACAAACCACTTTTGACACATTCAATCTGTCACAGCACATTTTATATACTGCACAAATCTTTTTTTTTGTTTGTATTTCAGTTGTGTTTTTACCTTTCCTGAAATATTAAACCATAATACACTGAAAATATTGCATATTTTCTTCTATCTTCAATATTAAAATGGCTGCACAAAAAATGCACCGATTTTGATGTTTTTTTTAATGCACACTGATATGACAGTCGTCACAATACAATCTAAAAAAATTGTTTTGAATGAAGTTAAAGACAACAAAGCACTACTAGAGCCAGCATATGGAAAAAACATAATGGATTTTTTGACCAGCCCAAAAGTTTAAATCCTCCCTATTCTTGGAAGAGATATTCCCTGATTTTATTTTTACATTCCCCCCACCACCCACAAAAAAAAATCAAGCTCCCATATTTAAAGTAGAAAATGAAGAACAAGAAGCATTTGGCTAAGGGTTGCAGCCTCAAAAGACTGCCAAGACCAGGTGAGCAACATCAGTGAACAAAGCACGATGAATCCAAGAGAAAAGCCAGGCCTGGGTGCCAGAGCAAATGCGAGGGCACGGCCCACCTGGGGGCGTTCACAATTACAGTGTTTAATACTCTGTGGGAAGGGAGGAACAAAACTTCAAAACCAAGTCCAGAATTTAATCCAAAGCAAAAAATAAAACACATTCAAAGCTGCGTCTTACCAGTGAGAGCCCTTGTCATTAACAGTTGCATACAGTATAGCGTTGATCAGAAACAAAAGAAATCCTACAAGAGATGATGGGAAAGACAGCACAATTGAAGAGAATAAAATTAAATGGAAAGAGTAACTCATATATAAGAATATACATCATTGAGGTAAGAACAAGGAAATGGACATTGAAATTTCAAACTATTAAGAACTCTTTATTAGGCATAGAAAAATATACTAAAGTGGGCCACAGCAAGTTCTGAGACATTAATGAATTAACAGAATAGTAGTAGGTAAGGAAATGTATCTTAAAACAAATAATGTATATTCTTGTGCATATAAGTTAGCCATGTAATAAACATTATTTTTTAAAGTAAAATCCTGAAAAACTTTAAAATTACTTAAATGAAAAATGGGTCTGGTAATTATGTAGACAAAGAAGGTGGTTCTAAGAAGTACACAAAATAAAATGGAAAAATTATGGTAGGGAACATTATATCTTAAAAATAGCTAAAATGATGAAAACTAGACTAAGAGAAAGAAAAGAGGAAACAAAAAAGCAAGATAGCCCTCACCGGTATGGCTCAGTTGGCTGGGCATTGTCCCACAAAGCAAAAGGTCACCGGGTCGATTCCTGGTCAGGGCACATGCCTGGGTTGCGGGTTTGGTCCCTGGTCAGGGCACATACAAAAAGCAACCATTTGATGTTTCTCTCCCTCTCTTTCTCCCTCCATTCCTTGCTCTCTAAAAATAAATAAAATAACATCTTTTTTTAAGAAAGCAAGACATACAAAATGACAAAGAAGACAAAAAGGCTGAAAGGAAGGGTGAAGATCCTAACGGTTCATCAGTGTGATGTTTTAGGGACACTGTTTGCAGTATAAGGCTCCATGAAAATACAGACATTCAACTGCAAACTAAAATAATGGCAATCTTTTCTAAAAAATATAAGGAAATGGACCAAATTTTCTTAATTCAAATTTTTAGTTCCCATGAATTTAAAAAAATATTATCTTCTGTTATTGTTTGTCTACAGATAAGCAAGATTAATATTAACTGAAACATCTGAAAACAATCCATCAAGTGTGGTTTAATTGTCTGCCATTTTATGGATAAGGATCCATGGTTGTGATTTCTTATTTTCTATATATTATGATCATCCTTTCTTCTTGCACGATTGTTCCTGATTCCTGTTATATAACTAAATATATCACACTGTCTGACAGCACTCCACCACTGTAAAATCATTACAAGGAAAACAGAAGAGTAGGAAAGGAATAGGAATTGGAATCAAGGGCAGAAAGAAGTGGATAGAAGACTGTAAAGTAACCACATTGCTATTAAGCAAAGTAGGAAAACTACACAACATACATAATTAAAATGATCTGTAGAAATACCAGTGATTTTTTTACATTATTGAGTCTCCATCCTTTCAGAAAAAGACCAATATCCCACGGAGAAACTTAACCACGTTAACCTCTGAAATGCTGTCAATGCTTTCAATCTGGACGTCATTTCCCGCTGGCACTGGAGAACTTCAGAAAGACGAATGGGTAACACACTGAGAAGTTATTAAAATTGTTTTGCATACACTCAAAGCAGAGAGAGAGCAATGTTGCAAATATATCTTCAAGTTTGTTTAACAACACATTTCTCTATTATTTACTGCTATATTATTGTACATTCAATTATAATAATAAAGGCATATATATAAATGTTATCCCAAAAATCATTACACATTCATTTGGGAACAATTCAATAATTTCTTTCTTATAGTAAACTTATAATACAAAAGTGGTATTTACAGTTTTTTTGTTTTGGGTTTTTTAAAATTGGTAGTGATTTAAAAAGGAACAACATTTTGACAACACTGTCTAAGAGTATGTAGAATTCTGTATTCTTTATGGTGAATGACCCTATTTTACAGTCAAGAAGTGGAGGTGTCATGAAGTTGAAGACTCTAAAAATCTGGAAGCCTTTACTCTCCTGCTAAAAAATCAGCCTCTTTCACCTGGGCAGTGCTTGGCAGTAGGAGGAAGAATGATGACAGTACAACAATACACAGGGACCCACATATTCAGAAACGGCCCTTCCCAGATCATTAGTAACCACATTCTGCATTGGGGATGAAGCAAACATTCTTACAAATGCATTTGAAGAGAATATACTGAAAGTCAGAATTGGAGCAACTTCAGACAGAGAACTCCTGAGCTTTGTTTGCAGTTGGGTCTCAGAATCAGCTTCATGGACCCAAAGAAGCTGAATGATGATGCAAGAGAATCCAGTCCAAGTTGAGGCCAAGGCATTTCTTTGTTTCACCTCACAAGAGGTTTCACCATTTCCTGTGTGAGGTGATGCTGATGTTAATAACTTCATTATTTTGTATTGTGTATGAAATTTAATGCATGTATATGCTAAAATAATTTATATATTTATACACATAGTCTTCGTATGTTTTCTTTCCATAGTGACCAATTCTCAATTAAATTTCATTGTCTCTATATAGTCTCAAGTTTAAAAAACACTTTCAACTATTGTTGAAAAATAGAAATCTTGCCTTGATAGATCCCAGGTGGCTATTTTAGTCAAGATTCTGGGATTTCAAAGAGTGAGACCAGAAAAGCTTCCTTACGGAAGGTCCATTAATGTCTGGATGTGCTACATGTGACATATATGTGCATAATTCAATAAGGCACCTCATTATGCACAAAACGTTATAAAACAAGATATGCCTTGCCAGTCTCTGTCCACCATCTATGACGTCCCCATTAATTGGCTCACGTTACCTTCACTTCATCAGCACAGATTCCCTTTTCCATAGGTCTGTAGCGTACGCATCATGCCTTACAGCTGGCTGGGCACTGGGCCTGTCACTTGAATATATTTCTGCTTCAATTTTCAGAAATACCTTACTTGCATCTTAACTACCGGTTTCCTGCCATATTGATCAATTATTTTCTACAACATTAATAATGATAATTCTGTAAATAATATTGTTTAATGACAATTATGATTAAGCATTAACTTGGGAACTCTGTATTACTTCTTTATAGGATTCAGCTTTGATGCTTTCTGTTTGCCTTTCTCCTTAATTAGTAGAGATATCAAAATAAAAATTCACAGAAAGATTTCATCCAGGGCTCCACTTAGCCTTTCAGTATGAGTAAATCTTCCCATTGATTCCGTTACTCCAAGGGAATGAAAGGTGTGGAGAGGTCTTGGAGAGGCAAGAGAATATCCTGAACAAAATTCTGTCATTAGAGTCACAGACTAGAGTTTGAACCCAGCTCCACCACTCATATTGATCTAGGGTAAGTAACATCTGGATTTAGTTTCCTCACCTCTTAAACTCAAGTTGTAGTATCACTGTGGAGACTCATTTGAGGACCGGAAATAATACGCAAGTAAACTTAATTGGTCCTCAATAAATGACACTAAATAAATGTTAATGCTACTGCAGTTTGGCAAAACTGTGAGCCTGTCCCTAAAATGTAAGCTGCTACTCCCAATCCTACACTCAAACATTTAGATAATCAGTCCATTACTCACTGAAAAAATGATACAGAGTTTCTACCAGCACATGTATTTTTTAATTTTATCCTCCACATGATTTAACTTTTTTATTATTTTCATTTCTTTATCTTTATACTTTTTCTGCATAATTTCTTTTTTAACTTTTTATTTTTAAATCATGATTATTACAGTTGTCTCAGTTTTTTCCCCTTTGCCCTCCTCCACCCACCCCATCCCACCCCCCTCTCCCACAGTCAATTCCCACTCTGTTGTCCATGTCCATGGGCCATTCCTACATGCTCTTTGTTTAGTCCCTTCTCTTTCCACCATTGTCCTCCTTCCCCATCCCCTCTGGTCACTTTCAGTCTGCTTCATGTTTCCATGCCTGTGGTTTAGTTTGTTCATCAGTTTATTTTGTTGAATAGATTCCACTTATAGGTGAGATCATATGGTATTAGTCTTTCACCAACTGGCTTATTTTACTTAGCATAATATTCTCCAGTTCCATCCATGTTGTCACAAAAGGTAGAAGCTCCTTGTTTCTTTCTTTCTTTCTTTCTTTCTTTCTTTCTTTCTTTCTTTCTTTCTTTCTTTCTTTCTTCCTTCCTTCCTTCCTTCCTTCCTTCCTTCCTTCCTTCCTTCCTTCCTTCCTTTCTTTAAATGCAGACTTTATTTATTTATTTAAAATGTCAAGATCCATTATAAAATATTTAAAAATTTAAATCCATTATAAAATCTCAGCAATTAAAACAACATGACACCAGCACAGAAATAATCAAGTAGATCCATGAGATAAAGTGAGCATTCTAGAAACAAATGTATGTATCTGTCTAACAATGTAATATATGATTAAACTGATATTTCAAATCAATAGCGAAAATAAAGCTTATTCAACAAATAAGGTGTATGGACCACCATTACTTGAAATAAAACAAATATAGAGCCCTATTTCACACATTATACAAAAAATATACAGGTTAGTTAAATATTTTTATGTGCCAAAGCAAGCACAGTGCATGTATTTAATGACAGAACTTGAGAACAACTTGGATTTAGGATCTTGTGACTTTTAAGTATATTCTGCTTGCTGATAACTGTCTACAAGCCTGGAGACAATCCTAAAAGCCACCTTACAATGACACATCAATGCCACACTGGACAAGCACTGAGCCCTCAGAGATTTTTGAAGGCTGGTGTGAAGTGGGGTAAAAACGGCTTGCCCATTAGTAATAGGATCCTGTAAACATCTTACATTTCTTCTTTCCTCCCTCTGATTTATAACTATCCTTGTGGGGATAAGTTCCTCTATTTGCAAGGAAAGCATTTGCCTTTGGATATCATCTGACCTCATTTTTTATCCTTTGAGCTCCATGTTTGAGTGAGTCTTATTCCTGGCTCTAGAAATCTATACTGTACCCTGACATTCTTGAGGACACATTAGAGAGTGAGGGGCACATAAAAGCAAGATGCAGAATCACAGAACTTTGGAGCTGGATAAATGCTCTAACTCTCATTCTTTTTACAGATGAAATGCCGAGCCCCAGAGAGAAGGTGGCAATCAAGCAGATAGGTTAAAAAAAATAGTGGAATTTATAGCCATATAAACCTGAGTAAATGACAGATTTCTGCAAATCTCTTAAATTTTCAATTTGCTCCCCTGTAAAATAGGGGAAATAAATATATGGTCCCTACCTAATATGGCTGCTGTGAGACCGAAACAAAGAATGCACGTTTTGTCTTTAGACTACTCCATTCAAATATCTTAACCAAGTTACTCACTACCTATGGGATCAGTAATACTTATAACAACATTAATAGTAACTATTTCAGAAATTAAAGAAGACACAAATAAATGGAAGCATATACCAAGTTCATGGATTGGAAGATTAACATCATTAAAATATCCATACTACCCAAAACAATTTATAGATTCAATGTGATTCCTACTAAAATATCAATGATATATTTCACAATATAGAAAAAAATATTTCAAAAATTTATATGGACCCATAAACGACCCCAAATAACCTCAGCAATTTTGAGACAGAAGAACAAAGTAGGAGGGATCACAATACCTGATATCAAACTATATTACAAGGTAACTGTAATCAAAACAGTCTGGTATTGGCATAAGAAAAGACACGGATCAATGGAACAGAGTAGAAAGCCCAGAAACAAACCCATGTCTCTACGGTCAATTAATATTCAACAAAGAGGGAAGGAGCATAAATTGGAGTAAAAAATAGCCTCTTCAACAAATGGTGTTGGGAGATCTGGACAGCTACATGCAAAAAAAAAAGAAACTCAACCACCAACTTACACCATATACAAAAATAAACTCAAGATGGATAAAAGACTTAAATGTAAGTTATCACACCATAAAAGTCCTAGAGAACATAGGCAGGAAAATTTCAGATATTCCATGCAGCAATATTTTCACCAGTATGTCCCCTAGAGCAAGGGACATAAAGGGAAGAATACACAAATGGGACTATATCAAATTAAAAAGCTTCTGCATGGCTAAAGAAAACAGCAAAATGAAAAGGGAACCAACCATATGGAAAAACAGATTTGCCAACAATACCTCAGACAAGGGTTTGATCTCCAAAATACACAAAGAGCTCATACAACTCCACACTAGGAAGACAGAAATGCTAATTCAAAAGAACCTATGCACCCCAATGTTCATAGCAGCACAATTTACAATAGCCAAGTGCTAGAAACAGCCTAAATGCCCATCAGCAAATGAATGGATCAAAAAACTGTGGTACTTTTACATAATGGAAAACTATGCAGCAGAAAGAAAGGAGGACCTCCTACCCTTTGCAACAGCATGGATGGAATTGGAGAGCATTATGCTAAGGGAAATAAGCCAAGGGGTGAAAGACAAATACCATGTGATCTCACCTATAAGTGGAACCTAGTCAACAAAACAAACATGCAAAACAGAACCAGGGACATGGAAATAAAGAACAAACTGACAGTGGCCAGAGGGAAGGGTGAAGAAGGGTAATGGGAGAAA